GTAAATGTTATTTTAATTTAAAAAACAGACTAATTAAATTTTTTTAATAAATATGTACATATAGTCTGCGTTGATCCTAAAATTTCCTAGGCGTTGACCCTAAGATTTCCTAATTAATTAAATAATACAGATGCTAAGCAACGTTGTCATAGTGACACAGTCCTATTACGAATGGCAACGTTGAGTTAATACTTCCACACCGGCAAACAAAAATAAGTCGAATAGTTAAGGCCATATAGCTGAATATTAACAGATGTATAGATATTTATGAATCCTAAATATATTGCAATCCAGAGCATTTTGATATTTTTGTGTAGAAGAGTAGTCATACATTATTGACTGCGCTACCATGACATATTTATGAACAATTTATATGATAACATTTTATTGATGCATAAGGTGTATGGAACTATATGATCATTTAAACGTTTACAATATTTTGAAAGATTGGCACTGCCAATGTATGTATTATTGAACTCGACTGTACATCGATGTTCGGAAGAGTATTTTCAGTGGTAAGTTAGGTTTGCTGTGGTTAATAATAATATAATATTATAATGGATGGTAATAATGGATTAAAAAACGTTGCGTACAGTTTGTACAGCGTCGTCGTTGTCACGTCTCACGCGGTACGTACCTACAGGGTAGGTATAAGTATTCAATGCGCTAAGGTTTTAGGAAGCTTGTTCTGTACCCAAACGGTGGCAAAGAAACCGTAAAAGGATTCATCTATTCATCAGAGCTCCAATCACGACTCCAATTCCACAAGAAATTCATGATGGGTACGCAGTCCAGTAGAGTTGGATTGGGAAATGTTAGAACACAGACCGACAAAGAGATAACAAAATCTTTCCTGCAACAAGATGAAAACGAGACCTACAAAGTGCACGCAATGAACCTAGAAATGCAGAATTAATGGTTAACTCTAGGAGAATTTTGTATCCCACCAGCATTGAAATGGCGCACACTTTTATACGTTTGGTCGCCTGCCCTATTAAAATTTTACTTCAACGCCTTTGTTTTTTTTTTTAGGAATAAATCCTGTATCGCGGGGGACTTTAGACACATAGATGAAACGGAAACAAAGGATACCCAGACTCCGAACAATACCTAATTTGTGGATCACACAAAGTGTTGTCCCATGACGGGATCGAAACCAAAACACTCAGCCTAGATTCTCACATTTTCAGATACCTAAATGTTACCTAAATGTACTGCACGGTCGCTTTTTAGTAGCCATCCGAACTCGGTCGGGTTATGTATCAATTGCGGTGATTATCAGTATTTTATTTGTATTTCGTTAATTATCGAGTGTAATGAAATGAAATTTTACATGTACATAATTGAATTAATGCACTAATTATTGGAATAGATTTTATAACGCATTTCGTTTAGAATCTCGTGCAATAAGACTGCATATGAAACAGTGGCCCAGTCTTGGTAAAGTATCCCATATCTCATTCATTACTAAGAGTACATCAATGATACTTGGTAAGACGTTGTAGATGCTTACAAGGCATGTATAAACGTTATAAACTAGACCCTAGTGCATAAGCACTAAGCACTAGGACCTAATAACCTTATTTTACGTTTATATTTATATCTTCTGAATGGTATGGTTTCTTAAAATCCGTTTTTACAAACAGTATAAACAAATTCAAAACAACGTATGAAAAAATCTACACCTCTAGAAAAGCGTTGTCGTAGCCTTCGATTAGGGTCGTAGCGGAAACTTGAATATCTTTGCAGTTTATTGACGCACAAATTTCATTTAGACATACACAATTACCTCACGTCATTCACTAATTTTTGGTCCCAGCGGAAACAGTTTTTCGTGAATAACTCCCCAATCGTTGGATGCCCAAATTTTTACTTACCATACACAATTACACGATGTCATACACTTAATATCTGTTAAACTCCTAGTAATTAATTCATATGCACTAGGATTTAGTTTATAACGCTTATACATACCTTGTAGGTATTTACATCGTCTTGCCAAGTATCGTTGATGTACTTTTAGTAATTAATGAGCTATAGGACAATTTATCAAGACTGTTTCATATGCAGTCTTATTGTACGAAATTCTAAAGGAAATGCGTAATAAAACTTATTCCAATAATAATTAATGCATTAATTCAACTATTCACATGTAAAAATTATTTCTTTACACTCAATAAACCTCCAAAACTCAAACCCTGGGATTCTCTACAGGCGTTGCTTTAGATGAATCGATATCAAAAAGTTGAGTGATGATGCGTCACGTATTGACTGGACATCTCTGATCGATTCCACTTCGATCGATGACAAGGTGCACGTATTCAATGAAGCAGTGACTAAATTGTACGATTCCCATACACCGGTTAAAAAGGTTAGGTTCAAACGACCGCCAGCAACCTGGATGACCAAGGGTGATACATATGGTCATCCAGGGTGCTGGCGGTCGTTTGGCCATGAGACGCCAAGATAGAGCTTTTAGGATTCATAAGAGGGACCGTATCGAGGTTAACTGGCAACAATATAAGTCTGCGAGGAATCAGTGGATGATCACCACATTGCTAATCCTTCACCTTCCCGCTATCTCCCATATTGTAAACTTATCCCTTATGTATGGCACATTTCCTTCTCTGTGGCGAAGAGCGTACGTGCGCCCGTTGCCTAAAGTACCTTATCCAGATGGAAATTGGACGAAAATGAGTGGGAAGATCTCTCCCCACTCATTTTCTATCCTGCCATTCTCTCCAAAGTGCTGGAGGACTGCGTCCAAAAACAGTTCTCCGATTTCATTTACAGTAACAATTTACTTAGTCCTTTTCAGTCAGGGTTTCGACAAGGCCATAGCACGGTTTCCGCTCTACCTGAAGTAACTTGGCGACATTAAGGTAGGGATGGAGAATACTAAGGTTACTACTGTAGTATTAGTCGATTTTTCCAACGCCTTTAATACCGTCAGTCATGAGCTCCTCCTTGCTGTCCTATCCCATTTCTCGGTCTTTCAAGAAGCACAGGACTGGATTTCCTTTTACCTTCGGGATCGTCAGCAGTCAGTACTATTGACTATATACATATTGACTATCACCGCAATTGGTACATAACCCGACCGAGTTCGCATGGCTACAAAAAAGCGGCCGTGCAGTATAATTAGGTAACATTCTAAACACTATTACACGACGTTATACACTAAATATCTGTTAAACTTAAATAATGAAATTCGAACTTTTTCCGCTGGGAAAACGCACACATCTAATTCTGAGCAAATTAAGGTCTTATAGAGATGTAGATATGTATTAGGACTTACGAAGTCATTACTGACTCGCAGTACAAATACATACATTTTAAGTACATACGTTTTAAGTTCTCTATTTGTTTTTCTATTTGTAATAACTTTACATTTACCGAGACTGCTGTAGTCGTTAATGTTAAATTTATTCAGGTCCTTCTGAAACCTGAGGTGATCATTAGACTTATCTTCTCTATAATTTTTATGTCGTCAGCGTATAATTAAAAGTTACAATGCTGAAAGCAATTGTGTATGTCATAAATAGAAAGAACGAATAATAGGGGACCTAGGATATACCCTTGTGGCACAACGCGTTATAACAACCATATTCGATTCATATCCATTGATGACTTCCTTTTGTGTTCTGTTTGTCAAGTACGACCTAAACCACCTCCAAAGATTCCTGAGAATCTCGTTGAAAGCAAGTTTTCTAGCAGCATTCTATGAGCCACTTGATCAAACGTGTCTATAATGTCAAACAATTCAGGAGTATAAATAAAAATATTAGTGACAGTTTATCGCTTACAGACCATGCTGTTCCGGAAGGATGGTCTTATACTATAGTGGATAGATACTTATGCACCAGTCTCTCCATAAGCTTAAATAAAGTATAAAGGATCGAAATTGGACGATAATTCGGCGGGCCTGTTGGTCTAGTGGTTAGTGAACCTGACTGCTAAACCGGAGGTCGTGGGTTTGATTCCCACCAGGACAAATATTGTGTGATGAGCACGGTCATTTGTTCTGTGTCTGGGTGTAATTTATCTATAATATGTATGTATTTAGAAATATATAAGTATGTTTATCAGCGGTCTGGTTACCATAGTACAGGCTCTGCCTAGTTGGGATCAGACGGCCGTGTGTGAGTGTGTGAGATATATATTATTTTATTATTTAATTAACTATATCTCTTTTTATGCCTCCTTTATGTATTGGTGTTATCCTGACTGATTCCCATATAGCTGGAAATATACCGTCTGATAAACATGTCTTATACAACGTGGCCAATGCTCATGGGCGTAGCCACGGTAGGTCTCTGACCTGAAGGTACCTAAGCAAACCTAAAAAAATAAATTATCTAGGTACTAATTTGGCATACGCCCAGAGCCCAAACGGCTGAAGTTAAAGACACATTTTTGGATAGAAGATTTCGTGGTGTAGGTAGGTGAGCAATAAGAAAGTGTTTAGGATAATTCGAATTATACACACGAGTACATATACAGGGTATAGCACCCTGTATATGTACCAGGGTGTAACCTTTTTGTATGAAAACATAAACCGGGTTACGTCCGCGGGTATAAATTGCCAGTTACTTATTATTTTACACTTCTGCCACACCCTGACCCCATGGCTAGCTACGCCCATGCCAATGCTTTACATACGGTTACGTACAATGTATTTTTTATATATTATAACTTGTATAGTCTATCATCATCATCATCATAATCAGCCTGTGTCGTAGTCCACTGTTATAGTCTATACTTACATTGAAATTGGAACAAGTATAGTATACCCACTTTTTCAGTTTCTGTATTTTTTCTAATTACTCATAGATAACGTCATTTTAAATTAAACTTGTTAGGGATTTTTAACACAGTTTATAGAATGGTTGTGGTGTAATTTAAATAATAGTCGTAAAAGACATTATATAATATTTAAATAATCTGGTACCTAAGATACATTATTACACACTGTCACTTAGTAAGTGTTACTGCACTTTTTAGACCTCTATCAACTTACCAGAACAACAGTTACATGGATAGAAGTTACTGAATTCAAGATTCTTTTTTTTTGGATCAATAAGTGAGTTATTTCTTAAATTTGTTAGTAAGACCATTACTTTTTCCATGTCAATACGTTTGGATTCAATTTGAAAGTAAGATAGCAATTCTCGGTCTTCAGCAAATCGTGAAAGTATTCCACTAAGTTCTTCTAACTCACACTTAAGTCTACCACATTCCTGTTGGAATACTTTCAATTGAGCACTTCGTTCTTCGTCTCTTCGTTTAAGTAGGCTACGCTGCTGCTGATACAAAGCCACGTATTCACAAATAGTATCGGTTTCATTTTGTAATTGTAGTATTATGTGTTCAAGTCTATGTTTTTCATCTGACAGGTCAGCTACTTCTTCCATTATTTTCAAAAAACGTTCCTGAAGTTGAGACATAGCATCTCCTGTTTTAAGGCAAAACTTGTTTCTGTCATTTACTTTAGTTAAAGGTTTATGTTCAGCCTCTGATTCGTTTTCTAATTTTATAATATTATTATTTTCAGATGTTTCTTCTATTATATTCACAGCTCCTTGCAGAATTTCAGTGCTTTTGGTATTGTTTACTAAGTCTTTTAACTCTTCACTTTGTTTCAGAACATCTCTGTAGTTAGATTGTAATCTAATCATCTCTTCATCTTTGGCTTTTAATTTAATTTGCATATCCTTCACCTTTTCCTCAACTTCAGCTAATTTAATGGTTAACTCTCTATTTAAATACTTTTCAGCTGTTAGTTTTTCTGTTAACTCTAACTTATCCTTACTCTGAAACATACAAAGGGGATTACGGAAGACCAGTCAGTTATGGGTATTTTTAAAAAAATCGTAGATATAACCTTATATGTATATCCCTTGTTGTTCTTATTATGTACTTTAATAATGGTAAGTTAAGAAATTAAAAAAATTAAATAAGAAATTACCATTTTCACAAATGCATCTTCCAACCCTTGCATATCTTGCTTTAATTTTTTATTTTGCTCAGTAGCTCTCTGAGCGGCAACTTTGTCACTGGTCATGTCTGCACTTAATTTAGATATACTTATATTGTCATGATTACATTCAGCTGTTTTTAATTCTGATAATTCTTTAACTTTTGTTTCACTTTCAGCATAAAGCATTTTTAGCTGCTGATGTTGATGTTGTAACTCATTTAACTCCTCCTGAAAATAAAGTGTTTTTTTATTTGGAAAAGCATTCTTTTTATACAAATAAGTTACATTTTAAGCATTGAAAGAGCTTTAGTTTCACTTCATAAAAAATAATGTTTGTCGGCTTAGGAAGACATTGTCACCACCCCTATTCATCTCGTGGGTGTCGTAAGAGCCGATTAAGGGAGCACATTATGCAGGACAACAGCAATGCAAAGGGAAGGAAAACTTGAAACAAACCTTATACCAACCCTGGCCAGCATGGTATAGTAGGCCAAAACCTATTTTCGAAGGAGAGGCCTGTGCCTATGGCCTATGTACGTGTGATGTGAAAATATGTTTTTTAAATAATTAATTAGAAAAATACTCTTAAATTTTGACACTTATCGAAGAATATACCGCGTGTCCCTTATGTCCCACAAAGCTTTTAACGTTTATGTTTATGTTTTTACAAATAACCGTAATAATAATATTGTTGTTGTTCATGAGATACCTATTTGTTTAGAAAAGTTTTCTTGTGTTAATAATTGTTTAGTCTTATTGCTTTCGTCATAATACACGGCAATGGTTTGAACAATTAGTGTTAACGTGTGCACGTGTGACTTCGTAATGTAAAGTCCTGCTAATTTTATTTTGAGAAGTGTCAATATTAGGTTCTGTGTGTAGTGTAGTGTCAAACTGAGTGAATTATCAGTCTTTTAATTTTATTGGGTTATCAATATCAACATCCATAATGCCGTGAGTGACCTTCACAGCCGCGGAATATCCTGCCATGATGTTAATTAATGGGAAACTCTATCAAAACGCATCTTTTGCTTTACGGACAGGTATGGAGTCAATCGCGTATGTCCTACAGACTGCCGAATTTTCGTAAGGGCGGTACAAAGATTACGAGACAACCAAAGTACCTACTTTTTCAAGAAGTGACACGTACTGCCGGGTCCAAAGCTAGTCGAGCATTCCCAAAACAAACACGTGAATAAAATCGTATTCTTAATAAATACATTTAAAAAAGCAATTGAAGTGATTAGTAGGTAGGTAATAAGAATGTAAAGTCCGCCGGCTCGTCGCGGCGGCGGCGTCGCTTTGATGTCGCCGACATTGCGACACTGCCGTGTACAGTTCACCGACTCATGTTATCAATGGTGTTCGGAAATTATTTTATTGTATTTAGTTTGTTCTAAATTTGCATTTCTGTATTTTCGTACAAATTTTTTTATTTTTTATTTTAACCGACGTATATTGAACCGTGTTATCTGTTATTTCATTTTTTGGGATATGTATTATAACACCCGTTATGCTACAATCCAGGTACAAAAGACTTTAGATGTGATAAGTGCATTGAGAGTCAAATTACGCAGGATCGCATAAAAATCTTACACGAGTAACGAAAAGCTGTGTAAAAAATTTACGACACTTCAACTGGCTTGTTATAGGGGGCTCGAACGGTGGGATAAACACACCATATTTAGAAAATCAGCAAACAGGGATCAATATCCTCAAGCCGACTCACTATCATCGTTCTCACTCGTATTCTGTGCCTAAATCACTTATCAATCTGAAAAGGAACGTAACCCCATCTTCCTCCCATATAATGTAATGTGTATTAGTTTCGTTTAATATGATTTCCATTAGCTTTTAATACAGTCAAGACAACTCCCGCACTAGGAATATATCCTGTGTCAGGGGGAATTTACAAAAATACATTAAACGGACACAAAGAACACGTAATTAAAACGTTTAGGCTAGTTATTAATAGAAACGCGCACTCTCTCCATGCGAATATTCTTCACTGCCAATCTTATAGACTGTTTGATTGATGTAGTAAATAAAAGTTACCATGGTATTTAGAGCATGCTATACTTTCTAATACTGATCATAAATTATAATCCAGCGAATTAAGATCGAGAGTTCATCAACTCTCGATCTTAATTCGGCCACTCTTTAGCTCTGATGTAATCAACGTTTCTGTCATTTCGAACTACGTTTAGATGTATCGAGCTTTCTGACCCAGTGGTTGGTTGCGGAAAGGAGCATTATGGGTTATTATATTTTACACGGTGTAAGGAACATCTTCACGAATACTGAAATAGTGTATTCAGACCATCATTCTGAGTCTAAAATGATTGGAATTTTCTGCCGGAAAATTAAACTTTTTATGCAATTAGCTGTCAAAGGTAAAGGTCATTTTCCGAAGGTATCGCACAAAAGTAATTACTACATGTGTATTCCGTGCAAACAGTCTACGCACAATACCACAAGTGTGTGTGCTGTGTGATTAACTACACTGCAGTTTTTGACCGTATACGGTATTTATTAATTTGTTTTTGGTGAAATGTTCTGTTTATTCATTGTGATATCATTTTTAACCAAAAAAAAATGGAAAAAAAATATGAATTTTCCGGCAGATAATTCCAATGAATGAAAAAATTGCAAATCATGGTTTGAATACACTATTTCAGTATTCGTTACGATGTCCCTTATACCCTGTATACAATGTGCCTGGGTTCGGACTGTACAAACTTTAGGGGGTGATGGTTTGGGTTGAGCAGAGGCGAGACCTCGTGGCGGCCATCGGAGTGGGAGTTCTCTCGCTCGATAGCCTGATTGCGGCTATCGTGCGGAGCGAGAGTGCGTGGAACTCTGCCGTCTCCTTCTGCTAGCAAGTTATGCTCGCGAAGGAGACGGCGGAGCGGGAACGGGAGAGGTTTAGAACTCTCCCGGCACGCCAGGCCCGGGAACGGGCTAGGTACCGCAGGCGACTCAGGCGCCGGAGGTCGCAGAACGACCTCCGTCCTCCATAAGCGCAGGCCTGGGGGTGACAGGTGAGGCCATCTGTCACCCTAGCAGAAGCAGGCCGGGGTGGCGGCGAGCGCGTTGCGAAGCGCGCTCGCTTCCAGGGAGCAGAGGGAACATGGGGTTCCCACACGGGGGGGGGTCGTCTACTCGTCTGTAGATGGCCCGAGGTATGTCGGGGCACCAGGGACTTCCTTTCTAGGGTATACCTGGTTCCCCGGCTATTAGTATCCGAGACGGCGTTCGGTTTTAGTCGGTTCGAGTCCGACATGCCACCGATATCCGATGGGATTTCCGCACGGAAAAAAAAGGGGTGATAGTTTGCTCTATTTTATCACTAAAATCATTCTACAGGTAGGGTCTAAACCCAACGGCCTCTGAACGGCAGCCATTTTTGTATTTTGGTTGACTTTTTCGAAGCGTCCATACTAAAAGTTATGTAACTTTGGAGTTTAATGTCCAATTATCGTAAAACAAAAACTTCCCATAACGGAAAAGTATTAGCAATCACATAAATAACTCAAATAATTTTAATAATTGATGTATCATATTTAAATGAATGCTTAAAGATCAACTTTACGTCAAAATTAACATTGTTTTTTAGTATTTCAAGGCTATTACAAAAAATACCCCTGTGAATTATCTCTTATTATGCACGTGTCTCACAGATGGTAAGCTTCCTAAATAATGATACCAAAAACTCGATTCTATGACAACTGGTGTAAGAGATATTGTTCTCAGCCCTTCCGTGCGTAAGATATGAATGAGCACCGCATTCCATGGGGAAGCAGGTAAAAAAATGGTTTATTGCGTATTATTGAAGTGAGAAAGGGACAAAATATGATGTGAATACAAAGAAGCATTCGTCAGATAAAACTCTACTAGGACTACTAGTTTAATTTTTACCAGTCCTTTTTTTCTGGTTATTGTGACTACACATATTTGCACCTGTGCGTATTGTTCTTCACTTACAAGTGTCGTGACGTTCTAATTATTCGTTATGGGAACTCGTGCTCGTGAATACTCTAGTAGAGACATTGCTGATATGCATTTTGTTTATGGATTTTGCAATGGAAATGCAAGAGCTGCTGTGCGGGAATATCAAAGACGATATCCGAATCGACCAATACCGAATCATCAGACATTCAGTGCAATTCACGCTAGATTAGCTGAATATGGAATAAGGAGGCCTCAAGGTGAACGTAACCCATCTGTACCCGTACATAGTGAAGAAGCGGTGTTGAATTTAATCTTCAGTGATCCAAGACTCAGTATCCGTCGTATTACAACGCGTTTAGGCATATCACGATGCACAGTCTGGCAGATTTTGAAGAAAGAAGGACTACATCCATATCATTTAAGACGTGTGCAGGATATAAGAGAGTCAGACAATGCTGCACGATCAGTATTCTGCTTGTGGGTAACTCAGAATAAGCGACGTACACCAGCATTTTTAAAACGCATAATGTGGACAGATGAGGCATCATTCACAAGAAGAGGAATTACAAATTTTAGAAATCTACACTTGTAGATGGCTGAAAATCCACATGCTGTTAGAACATCAACATTTCAGCATGAATTTTCTGTTAATGTGAGGGCAGCTATGATCCATGATCAATTGATTGGCCCCATCGTACTCCCCAGAAATTTAAATGGCCCAAGATTTTTAGAATTTCTGACCAATGAATTTTCTGAAGCGTTATTAGAATTACCATTGTCATATCGGCGACTCATGTGGCTTCAGTTAGATGGAGCTCCTCCACACTTTGCCCGAGCGGTAAGGGCACACCTAGACTAGTGGATTGGCCGCGGCGGTCCTGTAGCCTGGTCACCGCGTTCACCAGACTTAACGCCACTGGACTTTTATCTCTGGGTTGGATGAAACAGAAAGTTTATTTTGAGGCAGTCAACACCAGAGAAGAGTTGCTGGAGCGTAATCGCGTTGCTGCTGCCGAAATTAAAGATGATCCGAACCAGTTGAGACGGTCAACACAGCAGGTAGCGATCCGGGCTACTGCGTGCCTTCAGAGTGGTGGGGGACATTTTAAACAATTATTGTAAATGTACATTTGTTATTAAATAATTAGTACTTGTTATTTTGTTTATCTTTGCTAATCACTGTAAATATCTAAAGAAAAACCAAATCGTTATGAATTCACTATATGCACAAGCCTATGTTCCAACAACAATATTTTTTAAACCAATTGTCATAGAATCGAGTTTTTGGTATCATTATTTAGGTAAACTTACCATCTGTGAGATACGTGCATAATAAGAGATAGTTCACAGGGGTATTTTTTGTAATAGCCTTGAAATACTAAAAAACAATGTTAATTTTGACGTAAAGTTGATCTTTTAGCATTCATTTTAATATGATACAGCAATTATTGAAATTATTTGAGTTATTTATCTGATTGCTAATACTTTTCCGTTATGGGAAGTTATTGTTTTACGATAATCGGACATTAAACTCCAAAGTTACATAACTTTTAGTATGGACGCTACGAAAAAGTCAACCAAAATACAAAAATGGCTGCCATTCAGAGGCCGTTGGGTTTAGAGCCCACCTGTAGAATGATTTTAGTGATAAAATAGAGCAAACTATCACCCCCTAAAGTTTGTACAGTCCGAACCCAGACACATTGTATATACTACCTTTTCAAAAATCGTATCTTGACATACTTGTGCCGATGCCTTTTTCACAAAAATATGGCTTAGTCAGTCCTTGATAGCTAACACGCACCGAACTATCACTGAAGTCGAATAATGCCCACAGTTGACTAATTGGAAGGCTTCTATCGAGGTTTGAGCATAAACTCGGTAATTCTGCTTGATAAAATATGGTTCAATAGTAAAAAAAAACTCGTCGGTAAATATTTTTTTGTGTACCTCTTAATTTCCTATTCCTTTGATTACCACTTAATTTTATAATTATTATTCTTTTTTTTTTTTATTGCACATGTTAACTTAATGCACATGTTGTACTCTTGCGGAGAAAATGGACAAGACCGAAACTGTCTAACCTTACACTCCCACAAACACCTAAATTAAGAGATTCCTTTGTTCTAGAGAATACTGACCCAAACGAAATTGTATCAGTTATTAACACGTCGAGATCGAGTGCCGCTAAAGGCGATATGCATATAATGCAAAGATACGGCCATATACTTAATTTTTGCTTTAACACCGCTATTTTTCCCACTTGTTTGACTAAGGCAGCTATTCATCCCAATTTCAAGGCTGGCGATGGAAGCCTAGTCAATACCTACCGCCCTATAGCCGTACTTACTAGTCTGTCAAAGGTATTCGAACGATTAATTGATAATAGACTCATCCATTATCTTGAACACTATAAACTTTTATCACTACAACAATTCGGCTTTCGTAAAAATAAATCTACGATTGATCATCATCATCATCATCATCATCAGCCTATCGCAGTCCACTGCTGGACATAGGCCTCTCCCATTGCACGCCACTTAGATCGATTGATGCCGTACACAATTTGGTGGACTATATAGTCAAAGATTTAGACAATAAGAAAAAGGTTATGACCATATTTCTAGATCTCGCAAAAGCCTTTGACACGGTTGCCACTGAAACCCTTCTAAGTAACCTCGAACGTATAGGTGTCAGGTGTTCTCCGCTAGAGCTAATTGGGAGCTATCCAGCTAATCGAAACTCAGTTAGTTAGAACTATGGATAGATGCGTCAGCGACGTATATCCTATCAAATACGGTGTGCCACAAGGTAGTATACCTTGTGGCACACCGTATTATTAGATCCCACTCTGTTCCTTGTGTTTATCAATGACCTTTGCAACTTGGACATTCTAAACGCCTAAATTATATCATACGATGACGACACAGCAATCACATTTACGAGTTGTAACTCTTGGCTTGAATTACAATCAACGGCAAAAAGTGGTTTTAATTTGGCAATAAAACGGCTCTATTCACACACATTGACATTAAACACAAACAAAACCAACTTTATCACATTTTCAATAAGTCCCACAATGCAACCAGTATATCCTGTTACCATCCAAGCTCGCTCTTGTTCCCTGTCTTCTCCTCACGATTGCCAGTGTCCTTCTCTTCAATCCGTTAATGAACTAAAATATCTTGGCGTGGTGATTGACAGGCATTTAAATTTCAAATCACATATTAACACCCTCACCGGCCGTGTTCGTAAACTTATTTATATTTTAAAAACATTACATGTTGGGGAGGTACAGCGCAAACAACCATGAAACCTCTAGAGATCGCTCATAAAGCCATACTTATAGTTGGCACTTTTCGCTCGATACTTCAACCAAATAATTATATAAATCCTGGTATGTTCTTAATATACCAACAATATTTACTACGAGTAATTCTTTTCCAACATTCCAAAACAATTGTTAATGACAGCACACACACACACACACACACACGCACGCACGCACGCACGCACGCACGCACGCACGCACGCACGCACGCACGCACGCACGCACGCACGCACGCACGCACGCACGCACGCACGCACGCACACACTGAAATAAGCCCTCATACCGTTCTACCACAAATTCACAACTTTTTTCTGTAACTGTTAAGGGGACCGGCACTGTAACGCCGGTGGAACCCATCTTGCTCTTACCAAAGAGGTCAAATACCTAGGAGTAATACTGGACAGTAAACTCCTGTGGAATAAGCAACTCGATGAAAAACTGAACAAAGCCTGCATTATCTTCTGTCAATGCAAACGGCTACTCGGCAAAAGCTTGGGACTATCACCCAAGATTACTCTATGGCTTTACAGAACAATTATAAGACCAATAACCAGTTACGGTGCTATTGTCTGGTGGCAGAGAACAGAGCTAAGCACCGTCATAAACAAATTGCAGCAATTCCAGCGACTCCCATGCTCTGCGGTCACTGGCTGTATGCCAACAACGCCATCTGCCGCACTGGAGGTGGCTCTGGGTCTGCCCCCACTGGATTTATTCATACAGCAGGAGGCCGCCATGGCGATAATTAGACTCAAGACACCTGGGCCAATGGCATAAGAGTGAGGGATCGCACTCCAAACTATGGGATCAATTGGTGGAATACGAACCACTAATAGCAGCCCCATGCGATAGAATCCCAAAACACCACATCTTCACAAAAAGATACCACCACATCCAGATGCGAGAAAATGACGAGATCAATCCGGCACTAATGAAGTCCGAATTTACACGGACGGTTTCAAGACTTCAGGAACTGGAACAGGAACCATATTCCAATGCGAATGTGTGGCAATAGCTTACGCCGCCACAACGGCCATTTGTGTGTATCAAGGACTACAACATCCGAATACTATCCGACAGCATGGCCGTCCTAAAGGCAATGGAGGGCAACACAATGACCTCTGGTATTATCCTCGAATGCCAGCATGCATTGAAACAGCTTGCCACATTAAATGTGGTACTCCTCCAATGGATTAAAGGGCACAGTAACTCCAACGGGAACGATGCCGCAGATGAGTTAGCAAGGAGGGGCTCGGCAACCCCAGCTACCGGCCCAACCATACTCCTGCCAATACCGTTTAACCAAACACGATTCTGGGCCGGGCAACGGACCCGTGAAGCACACAACCGGGGATGGAAAAACTCATCCGGCTGCAGACAGTCCAAACTGGTGATGACTCAAGTCACACCACGGCTCACCTGCAGATTGATTAGTCTTAGCAGACAGGAAATCCGAAGAGTTGTCGGTACTATAACAGAACACCTAGCCCTGAACCGACACCTTTTCATCATCAATGCGACGGACAGCCCTCTGTGCAGGGGATGTCTGGAAGCAGAGGAAACGGCCGCCCACGTAGTCCTGGAATGCGAGGGAGTGGCCGCACAACAGAGACAAGATCGCTCCTCTGAACGCCCCAGGAGGCTTCTGCGCTTCTGGAAGGAGCTTGGTTGGCTCACCTAGCTAACCAATCCTCGACGCATAAAGGACCACTCTTGAGTCTAAATTCGGAAACCGAAGCCCACAACCAATACCAACACCATGGCTTTACACTTCTGTACGACAGAAAAAATTGCGAGCGCAGCCACTGCAAAAAATATGTGGTGTGTGGTGTGATATTTACACCCTTTCATCGGTCGATTTGATGACGTAGTTTCGTTGTACGTGTGTGCGTGTAATTGTGTATGTACATGCCAAGGCATAGTTTAAATTGGCCTCACTTCTTTGTTCGCAGAGTACCATCTGGTAGACTGGAAGAAAATGGCTGTGACATTAAGTCCACCATTGTACAATGAATTGTTTTTTGTGCAAAAAGAATTAAATAAATAAATAAATTAAATTTATATCTAAAGGCATAAATGGCAAGTTGGTACACATTGGAAGTTTATAACAACAATACAATTCATTATTTTTTTCTAAAACTGACAAACATCTTATTCTAGGATTTGATAAGGATCAAACCTCCTTTTTTTCTTACCTGCACATGTTTTAAGTTGTCTTGTAAAACCTTAATATTGCTGGCATTCTGATCCATTTCCAAGTGTTTCTTATCAATGTTGTAATTTTGAATTCTTATTTCCATATCACTTATTTGTTCAATGAGACTATTTTCTCTATTTGATAAATTTTGAACTTCTTTGTTCAGCTCTTCATTTCTTTTGATTGCTAATTTTAACTGGTCATTTAATTCAGCAACATAATGTTCGTAATGTAAATTCATTTGATCTCTCTCTTTTTGCATCAAAGTAATTTGTTGCTCTAAATTGCATATTTTCTGTGACATAGCTTCATTTTTTTCATTTTCAACAGTTTTTTCTTTTGGTGGAACTGAAGGTGAACCATTGGTTAACTGTTGCATCTGAAGATGTATTACATCATATTGATTTTGAAGATTATGCAGTTGACTTTGAAGTAAATCATTTTCAGCTTCTTTACCATTTAAGATAGTTCTTGTAAATTCCAGCTGTTCTAGTAAGTTACTATTTTCTTCTGATAGTGATGTGTTAATAGAATTTAGTTGACTTATATTTGTATCTTTGAGTAATATTTCTTGCATAGCATTTAAATACTTTTCATTTATATCTTTCAGTTCATATTGTAGTCCATTTAATTTATGATCACATATTTTAAAATCATTGATTACTATGGCATGGTTCTGTTCAAGATGGCTTAGCTTCTTTTGTAACTCATATACTTGCAATTCCAGATTTCTTTTATTAGATATTAGTATCTCAGTGACATTAACATCACCTGGAAATGTCTGTATATCTTCAGTTGTATTTATTTGTTTATCATTAGTTAACCCAGTTTTCATGTTGTCCCCTGTTTTATTGCTCTCTGTAGTTGAATCTTCAACAGGCAGGGTTGCTGCCTCTTGATGCTTATCTGCAGTGATTAGAAACTCCTCTGAGTTTTTAGAATTTGATGCCTGAACTGCATTGATTAAGTTATCTTGATATATCCCTATTTCTGATTTAATACTGTCATCCTTCTGAATAGTTTTTTTTTCTTGATGGTCTTTCAACTGAAACATAAATATATCAAGTAAAGTACTTCAAACTTTTAGTTTCTAAAATGTCCTTGAAATTTGAAAAAAATAATTTTAAAACTTGTGCACTATTTTTATCAAATGAAGTTTAAATAGTATAGGTATGAATTCCAGAAACAGGTCAAAAGTTGTTACTAATTTTGTTTGTATGTTTAACGAGAGGCTTCTCAGGTATTCAGTAGTTACTTTTAAGTGGTATATATAAATAAAAGGTTTTAAATAACAAATAAAAACAAATTTATATCTACTCATATACGTTGAATCCAACGGCATACATACAATAGTTTTGGAAAAAAACAAATAGACGGTAATAAAATACCCATTAATTACACAATATACACAACTAAAATGCTCAGTACATTTTCCGCTTTTTATTTCATCTAAATTCACAGCAGATTATGCTTTGATTACTCATTACATTCAATTCATTCAAGAATATACTCAATGCAGACATTACTTTAAACTAGTGTTACGAGTCGACTCGTAACACTAGTTTATACACTTTCGACACACCATTTCATGTACACCAATGTATTCTTACTATGATAAAGGTATTGACAGTCATGACGTGTCACTAATAAAAATCATGCAAGATTAGACATAGTAGTTTAAAATATGGTTTTAAAGGAATTTAAAATAAGTACTAGAAAACGGGGTCTACTGTTTTTCAGGCTTAAGAATCTTTTAACACAGTATGCGTAAACAGCTTCTTAGATGTACTTAAACACAGAAATTCATTATAACCACTACCTTTTTACGTGCCAAGGCCAGTTTTGCTGCCCGACTGTCCATTGCTAATGGTCTAGATTTTTAATAAACTAATGTAAAAGACATACATATAGACGTCAATTAATAATTTAAATAGTTAATAATACAATATATATAAATTCACGGCTATAGTTCGAGTAATGACACCTTAGACTTTAGAGGTGTCGGTTTCTGTAATATTATTGTATGTACTATGAGTGACACTGACAACACAACACATCAGTTCAGTGCTGCCAAGTTTTAACAAAGTCGTTATTAAATCCTGAATTCTCGTTTTTATGGAGGTGCAAAATCATCATAGGATTTATTCTGTTACAAATCAATCACTGTTACAAAAATTAGGCACACCTTCACCATGGCTTAAGCTGGTACATTGTGACCATCGTGCATTGGTTAAATAAAATAGTCAAGGCGTCCTCCTATTTTTATATTATTTCTTTAATATTTTTCCTATCACTTTCCGTCAGATTACACGAGCTAGAGAAAGAATGTTAAACATCAATCATATAAATGCAAAACTGATATTTTCCTCTAAATAAAATCAGTAATAATTGTTCATCAATTAAAAGATAGTAGCTGACAAACATGAAATTGAAATGTATTTCAAGTGTTTTTTGTAATAAAATATACGACAAGTTTGTAGAAGGAATTGCAAGCAAAAATGAATTACTTAAATATTACATAGAAATTTCGTGAGGGAAGTTTCCGTACTGGCGATTGAATGACGGCGCAACAATCACAAGGGATCTAGGGATCGAATGTAATATTGTTTAAAAAAATATTGTTTATTAGAACTTTTAGTAGAACCTCGGTAGACTCACGGAGGAATTCAACTTAGGCGGATGTTGTAAGGAAATATTCGACTTGTAGAGATTCTTACTTTGACCATTTTCAATTTTGTTCATAGTGATTGATTCGTTTTTAATGTTGTTGACAGAGTACTCATTTGTAAGTTACATTTTTCAGCAAATCTTTTTTTTTAGCCAACTTTTTATCTAGGCTTTATATATATATAAGCAAGTCAAAATTTTCAGTAAGACCCAAAGTTTTCAGTTTTATTAATTTTATTAGTATACTATTGTTAAACTTATGTTTTTTGATTGTTTGCAGTAGAACGAAACTACTTCTGAAATTTTTTCAATCTTCTCATCGTCATCATCCTTTTATAAAATAGCTATGTACGAAGTCATTTAGAATATTGCAGCACGGTATGGAGCCCAATGTATCAAGTTCACATAAGCAAGATCGAACAAATCCAAAAGAGACTAGTTCGACATCTAGCTTTCCTTTTTGGGGTTAGGAATTCTAGTTATTTAATAAACTAACGAATTTCAATTCGTACCTCTTCAGTCCCGTCGTACTATATCTGACCTTGTATTCCTATACAAGCTGTTCTATGATCATATTGACAGTCCAGACTTCCTCAGTAAAATTAGTATAAGTGTTCCAACCAAAATCCCACGCTATTCTCGCCCGCTATTTAAGGTTCCAAGGACGACCTTAGGAAGGCAAGCACTAATTGCTAGGGTGACTCGCGAATATAACACCATTTAAGTTCCTTTCTGGGTCAAATACATATTTCTTAGAGTTTAGCTGAATAAAAAATATATATATATATTGACCGCTGTTTAATTGTTGACATATCTACCTACAATTTCAGTATTAGCTACTACTAAATTACTACTTTTTGCACAATTAATTGTTTTAATTTTTTTCCATCTACAAGTGCCATTTGTAGCCACTGTGTAATGAATTATATTTGTAATGTCCATGTTGTGGTGCCCTATAATTGAGGAGCACAACGCATTAAATTTTATTTGCTGTAAAACTAGCTTTTAAGGTGTATTTCTTGTTGGAAACCAAATAAATTAAAATTAAAATCATCAACACCCTTTAGTAGTTCACTGCTGGTCATAGTCCTCTTGTTAGAAAGGAGGTTTTGGCCGACTATGCCACGTTGGCGAGACGGGTTGGCATAGGGTTTGTTTCAACTTTTCCTTCCCTTTGCAGTGCTGTTGTCTTACGACATGAATAGGAATGGTGATACTCCGTATTCTTAATCCGTCACACGTCAACAATCGACAACACCCAATCTATATTAATAAAGTAACTTAAAATAAAAAACAAAAGGAAACGTTTATTAACAAAAATGAAAATTTATTTGAATCTTCTTGAATCTTTTGTGACGCAAAGTCGGCAGGATTATTCATGTTGCAAAATAATACAGTGTGTAGCAGTCTTATGAAAAATAACAGGTATAGCCATTCTTTCACGGCAGTCACTGCCGGTGGACAGCGACGCACCGCCCCGCATCCTACAAACCATCGCAAGGCATACGAAAACTCCCAGGTAACAATACGATACTAGCCTAGTCTAAGTGCCAGGTCATATGATACGTGATACGATATGCGACCACATATCGGTCATATATATGATCACATACAGATACACATTCAACATATTCTTATACAGATACTAGCATAAACAGATACGAACATGAACATGAGAGCAAACAATATCAAGATATTCAATTATTTTAAAATAAATACAAAGAAAAACAAAAACAAAAACACAACGCTAAATAAAGACAATGCAGTCATCAGCACAATGTTAATACCAAGAACCGTTTTTGTACTACACTACACACAAATAACAATAAATACTACATATATATTACGCATCAGTTTGAGCACCGCATCCAACATTAAAAAAATGTCTTGATAAAAGCCGCCTCACTGTGCCCGGCTCAGTACAGAACAAGTCATACTGCTGAGAGCTATGAAGTTCATTGAAGGTACGAGCACTTCCCAGAAGGAAGGAATTACTTCTATAGTTGGAGGTCACGAACGGCACATGGAGCAATGGTCGTTGTCTTAGACTATTTTGGTTAGTACGCAAACTTAATTTAGATAGGAGCTCAGTGGAGTCAATTGTACCATTCGCGATGCTAGTCAAATAGCAAATATCACCTATAAGGCGCTTATATTCCAGTGGAAGGAAGTGATACCGTCTGCAACGATGAATGTAGTCATGAGAACATTGCTGCGCTCTAAAGTCCAAATATCGCAAAAATTTCTTCTGGATACCCTCAATACGAGACTTATAGACTTCGTATTGTGGGCTCCAGACTTGCGATGCATATTCCAAAAGGCTGCGTACAAAGGAACAGTACAAAACTTTTATGGGCTTAATAGTACGGAAACCGGTGACTGTTCTCATAATGAAGCCAAGGGCCCTTGACGCCTTATTGACCATGCTATCAATGTGTTGATCGTTAGCCTGCTGTCTTGCATAATACCAAGATCTCGAACACTATCGACTTTGCTTATTTGCTGCTGACTCAATGTGTAACCTAGACCAATTGTACGTTGATTGAACGTTATCTGAAAACATTTGGTTACATTAAGCTGAAGTTTATTAACTTTACAGTACATTTCAAATCTATCAAGATCAGCTTGAAGTTCTTGAGTGTCAGACAGTTTTTTCACTTTTTTGTGAATTTTCATGTCATCAGCATAGAGCAGGATGTAGGAGTGTTCGAAGCATCTGTTAATGTTAGCGATGAATAAAACAAACAACAGAGGCCCCAAGATTGATCCCTGTGGAACACCGGAAGGGATGGTTTGCCAGTCGGAGATGTAGCCCCTAAGAACCACAGCCTGTGTCCGACTTTCTATATAAGAAGTAAACCATCTATACAAATCGCCATGAATTCCAGCGGCCAGTAATTTCTGTAAAAGCAGCTGATGATCTATTCTGTCGAAGCATTTGCTATAGTCAGTATATATGACGTCTACCTGTACACCCTGTTCCATGCCACTAGATACCAATTCATGCGAGAGAATCAAGTTTGATGTTGTGGATCGGTTTTTTAGAAAACCATGTTGTTCCTCACCGATAATACTTCTAACCACCCCGTATACATTTGTATGAACCATACATAGGTTTCCAACGTTGGATTTATTTCCTTTCTTGAACACAGGGGTAACAAACGCAGATTTCCAGATAGTTGGAACTATGCCTTCTGATAAAGATCTCCTAAACAAAATACAGACGGGAACGACAAGACTATCAGCACATCTGACTATGAATATAGGAGGTATCAAATCAGGACCACCAGACTTGAAGAGATCCAGGGTTTTGAGCAGTTGAAGTACTTGCGAAGGGCATACCTCGATTGTACCGATAGATGTCACAGTGTTAACATGGTAAGGGTTACAGGAGATGTTGCGGTCATTGGGAGCTGAGTCAGGTTCCTGATATGTTAAGTAAAAATAATTTGCAAAAAAATTGCTAATTTCTTCACCTGTACTCGCTGTTACCTCACCAAATTGCATTACATTAGGTAACACACTTGCAGTCTTCCTGCTCTTAACGTAGGTCCAGAATGATTTGGGATTTCTCACAATAGAGGTTTCAATCCTTTCCATATATGCCTCAAAACACGACTTTTCAATAGTTTTTGCCCTAGTGCGAAGTATTGAATACGAACGATAGTCCGATCTGTTTCCATAAGTTTTATACTTACTGTGATACTTATATTTTTCTTTTAGGATTTTTATTAAAGCACTGTTATACCACATTTATTGATTTTATTGATTTTAGCGGTACAAATTTATCTCTAAGCGCATATAACCTGTTATAAAATGAATTGACAGGATCATCTAATGATTCAGCTAACAAAACTTCCTCCCAATTAATGTTATCCAGTTCACTATTTATAGTCTTATAATCTCCTTGCGAAAAAAAGATACTTTGTTTTATTTTTTTCTGGAAGTGCGTGAATTTCTACAAATCCTGCCTGGATGATGAAGGGCTTGTGGTTTAAATCGATTGGCACTATCAAAGGATCAGTATCACACTCAGTAATAGTAACCGAGTCGTTAGAAAATACTAAGTCTAACAATCTATCATTGACATTGCGAACCCAGTTATATTGTTATAAGTTACATGTTTGCATTGTATCCCAATAACCAACAATATGCGGGCATGAAATACTGGTAGCACCTTGTTAACAAAATTAA